ACGCTAAGGCGGGCTAGATGAGCGTTTTCTCGAAAAGGTAATAGGGAGGGGAGAGAATGGACGCAACGGATGATTTCGACTCTGGCCACTGCAGCTTTCCTACGAAACGCTTTCCGAACGAGCCAACCGACGACGAAGATGGAGACACAACAGAGGACGATATTAGCTGGGTACATCCATCCCACACGAAAAACAAAAAAGTCCCATACACCCATCAGTCAAGAAAACCCCCAGAATGATGACCACAGAAGGAAAAGAAAAAGGGAGACATACCGACGTTGCCCAGCGAATCGAGCTTGGCTCCGGCGACTTCCATCCGTGGAATCGTACACGTCGGATTGATCCCCACGCCTAATTCCTTCACGATCCCCTCTCGTTGTCTACTCTTCCCCCCCAAAAACTCTCAATCAGCTTATTAAAAAAGAAAAAAGAAGAAGATTAGGAGGAGGGTATTTACGTGAGGTCTTCTGAGGGTAGGTTCAATGACCGGTCCGGCGCCGCTTGGACTCCCCGCTCCGGATGGACTAGTAACTGTCGGAAAAATAAATTGCCTGCCTTCTCGATTTTAGCTTCCTCTTTCTTTTATTTTAAAAAAAAAAGAAACAACATATCCTGTTGTTTTTTTTTTTGTATGTGTGGGAGGAAAGGAAAGGGAAAGGAGACGTACAGATGGGTTGCGGAGACACCCGACAGATGTAACTCCATTCGCCATACTTAAACGAGACCATCTTTTCCCCTTTTTTAAATGAAAGATCCACACGACCTTACTTTTTTTTTGAAACACACACTTTTCTGTTCTTCTTCTTCTTGTGTTAATTCCCAAAAATATGATACTTTTTGTGTTGTTCGATCGACGCAGAGAGAGAGTTGTTATTATTGGTATCCAATTCTTGAGGATATAGCGAAGATCGGCAGCAGTTCTCGAGGGGGAAAGAGTGTAGTAGACTCGGATGGAGAACGTGCTTGATGAATGATGGTATTATGGAGGTGAGAGAGAAGGCTTG